TGTGCGCGATAAGAAAGGACGTAAGAAAGGAGAAGCCAGGTGGGAGAGATAGCTTAGAAGGCACAGGCAAGCACAGGCAAGCACAGGGTCCTGAGTTCAATCCAAAAAAAAAAAAAAAAAAAAAAAAAAAGATGAAAAAGAAGGAGAAGCCTGCGGGACAGACAGCCTCCTCTGTATCCATGGGCTCTTATCTATGAAATTGTGAGGGAGAAACACTGCAATTGTTCTGGACAGGTACTGGCTTTTCCTTGTCATTAAACAATCTAGTTCAGGCCCTATTTCAGTAGCTCCCACACTTTGCTGGGTCCTCCCAGGACTGTAGAATTGGCTGGTAGTCATCCAGAAGATGTGACAGCTATATGCAAACATTGCCCCCTTTGACAGAAGTCACTGAGCTGCCTCAAGGATGCAGGTGCCTGTGCAGGTTGCCTGGCAACCTTCCTGGAAGGGTCCTGAAATCTGTGACCCCAGGATGTCCAGGGGTATGGGACTGGCTTCTGAGGAGTACTGTGGCTAGAGAGTCATCAAGAAGGTGCTCTGCCTGCCTTCCTGTCTTCCCCAAAGCCACCAACTGACTCATCTCTTTACTGGAAAAGGGGGTAGTGTGGGGATCAGACTCAGAGTTTGGCACCCATGGGATCCCTTGCCCAGATGGCATCTTCGGCTATCTGGGCTCCGGGAGCCCACAAAGCCTGAACTTAAAGCCTGTCCCCCATCAGGCTGAGCTGCCAGGGCTGAGATCTGTGTCAGAAAGGCAGCTGCCATGACAACCACACTGACTGCTGCCCTTCCCCATGGTGGTGCAGGTATGCCAGGCTCCAGGAATGGGACAACTTTACCAACTTGATGAACAAAAGTAAAAGTCTCCTGTCACGGAGAACCCCGACGACTGCTTACTACGGAGGTATTGTTAAATACATGGAGGCGCAGGTGCTCCGTCTCCAAAAGCAGATCGAAGAGCAGTACCACAAGGCTCAGGACAGCGGGGTGGAGCTGCTCAAGGTGATGCCCCAGGCTCACAACTTGCTCATAACAGAAATGATGCATGATCCCAAGAGGCAATTTTAAGCGTAGAGACTAGAGTTCGATCCCCAGCACCACATGCCACACTGGTCCCGCACCCCAGTGAGCTAAGCTGTCCATGGAAGCAGGGCATGGTGGCCCAGGCCTATAATCCCAGCACTGGGGGAGGCTGAAAACAGGTGGATCACTCTGAGTCCCAGCTGCCTAGTGAGACCCTGGACCAAATACCCCCCAACTAAAAACAGAGATTTTAAAATAGTCTCTCTGAAACACTGGGAAGAGGAGAACGTAGGTCACCCTTTACCTTCTTTACCTTGCTACTCATAAATTGCTACACTGATTGATTGTTGATTGACTGATTGACTGTGATAGTAGGGGTTGAACCAAGAGCCTTCATCCTGAACCACATCCCTAGCCCTTCTTTTATTTTTAATTTTTAAACAAGGTCTAGCTCCATGGCTAAGTTGCCCAGGCTAGGTTCAAACTTGCGATCCTCCTACTTCAGCCTCCCAAAGTGCTGGGAATACAAGTGTCTACCGCCAGGAAAGTGCTTTCGATCATCTTACCCACAATCTAATTTATTCCAAGTTTCCCTTTCTCTCCAGTAACACAGGCATTGGATTTGACAAGTAAGTTGACTCTCAGTAGCACTTATCCATATGGACTGAAGGTCAGTAAAGGCAGGCCTCACTGTGGCCGGCCTGATACTTGGAAGTCCAGAGGCATGAAGGGAGAGGATTAAACAAAGGCACAAAACAAACAGAAGTAGCAAAGCTCTCCTCTCCCCAAAACAGTATAGGTTAAAAAACTAACCCGGGCTATTGGGATTACAGCAAAGACATAAAACATTATCTTGGAACTCAAGGACATTGCAGTTTTTTTTAAATTCAAGAAGAGCATAGAGGCTGGGTGTGGTGGCACACCGAGGCTGGCGCAGGAGGATCTTGAGTTCAGGGCCATCCTGGACTATATAGCGGACTGACTCACACAGAGAGAACCATTGGCTCAGCCGTGATCACATGACATGCAGCATCACAGGCTGCTCCACAAGTTTAATATTGAGTTAAAATTTATTAGAAATAGGGACCAGGGAGATGGCTCAGTAGAATAAGCGCTTGCCTGGCAAGCACAAAGGCCTGAGTTCAATCCCTGGTTCTGCCCCTACCACCAAAAAAAAGGAAGAAAACTTATCTAGTAGTGAGACCCTGTAGACCCTTCCCTAAAATACAAAAA